CGGGGGGGGGGGCGGCCCCTTCTTCGGGACACAGAAGCGATCTGGCGACAGGTAAGTCGTCAGAATCGCTTCTGTTGTAAAGCCGACAGTCGGCTCTACAAGTTTAAACAGAGTCCCGGCGGCAAAAGTCACCGGGAGTCTGTTTAAACAGCCCCGATGCTGGCGACGTACACTGTACGTCGTCAGTCACGAGGGGGTCAAAACAGAGATGTACAAATCCCGGGAGCTCCGTGTGCTCCTTACAAATGACAGCGGCCTCCTAATTTTTTAATTTTTCTCTAGTGTAGTCTTGGAGCTCAAAAGTATCGGTACTTGTACTCGTACTTGTACCGAGTACTGTACTTGGTATCTGTGCAACTCTAATTATAATATAATATACACATACAGTATATGCCTCTTTATATAGTATGTGAGATCTGCTGTCTGTTTGAGCCCCTGGAACTGCCTAGTATTTGGTGAGAGTAGAGATAGTTTTGAGTAGTTGTACATTTGCAGTTCGTCTTTCATTTGTGACATCTGGAAAGGGAAGAGAATCTATCAAGTGTAACCTGCACCTTTCCTGTACTCCGCACATTCTTTCCAGTCAAGCAGAAAGCGTAAACAAAAGAAGGTTTTGAACTTGATTTAGTACAATATGCCTGTTATGTTACATTTACTAGACCACACAGGCTATCACACCTCGGATGGAACATCTTGTGGACTGGGACTAGGCCTATTGTGAACTGGGATCGGACAGTGTTTCTATAGTGATAAAGTAAAAACACATGGCGCATTGTTTTCTAGTATCGCTACAGACTGCCGGTGAATGGGCAAGCTTCGCACCACTTCATTTCATAAAGCACTAGTGACCAAGGCACAGGTTCTCTTCATATATCTTTATGTAGATTGTTAATGCCCTTTATATCATCTTTCTGTTGCAGGAATGGAGCACTTGGAAAATGGTCCTAGCGTCTCCGTCGACTACAACACCTCCGATCCACTGATCCGTTGGGATTCTTATGATAACTTTAATGCACATCGAGAGGACAGTCTGGAAGGTACGTGGCCATCCTAGTTATATATGTATATGCATTGGAGTAGAGCTGCAGGTGGAAAGAAAGCTGGTTTTACAATATATGGCCAAATGTTGATGGGGTTCAGGTGTTTCCAGTATGTGGACCCTCTTCCAATTAATGGAGCTCAGGTGTTTCCAGTATGTGGACCCACCTCCAATTAATGGAGCTCAGGTGTTTCCAGTATGTGGACCCCCCTCCAATTAATGGAGCTGAGGTGTTTCCAATATGTGGACCGTCCTCCAATTAATGGAGCTGAGGTGTTTCCAATATGTGGACCCTCCTCCAATTAATGGAGCTGAGGTGTTTCCAGTATGTGGACCCGCCTCCAATTGATGGAGTTCATGTGTCCCCAGTGAAGGGTAATATTTTAGACAATTGTGCACTTCCAGACTTATGACAACAGTTTGGTGAAGGCCCTTTTCTGGTCCAGCATAACACCATGTGTACAAGGCCAGCTCCATAAGGACATGGTTTGACCAGTTTGGTGTGGAGGATCTCGAGTGTCTTCACAGAGCCCTGACCACAACCTTAGGGAACACTTTTGGGATGAATTTGAAAGCCCACTTGCAAGCCAGGTCATCTTGCCCAGCCGGCCCTTACAAATGGTCTTTAGGCTGAATGGGCCTAAATTCCCACAGACACGCTCCCAAATTCTTGTGGAAGGCCTTCCCAAAACAGTGTGGTCTGTTATATCTGAAATGGGGGGCAACTGCATATGAATTCCCATGTTATTGGAATGAGATGTCCAACAAGCTCATATACATGTGAACTTTTGGACATATAGTGTATCTGGTGATAAAGGGTAGCAATCCTTTAACAATGCTTTATTGAGTAACCCATAAAGACAATGTGAAAATCTTTTCCAACTGGAACAATTTACGTTTATTTTTATGCTTGCTTGTTAACGGTGTTTATGGTTGTTTTGCTTGGATGCTGCCACGCCAAACACTCATATGGAAAGTATTCTCTGTGCTCTTCTATGCGTGATTATTAGCAGGTGTATTCTACTCATAATTTACTGAAGCTTAGCACAGTAAAAGCATCGCATGTAGAGCTCTAGATTCCTAGTTAGGAATTCATAGAAGCTTAGAAGGAGTTGTGTATATGGGATAATGACGCATGCGTTCAGCTTGCATTTGAGTGGCTTGGGTGTTCTTCCTGAGCTCCTTTGAGTTATTTTTTCATTAGATTGTATAAACCTAGAAACAACCGCCCCATACCGTAAACCAGAACAAGAACAAACTGATAAATAATAAATACAACATCAGAAAGTGTGGAAAAATATGGCAGTGGCCCCTTTTTGGGAGTTTTTAAACAAATTACGATAACTTCACCCTTTATTGTAGCAGACCTTTAATGAAACAGACCAATGATCCCTACCCAAACCACCTATATAAAGGAAAAGGAGGTGGGGTGGGGGGGAGGGGTTGTGGTGTGGGCCTAATAAGTTTTGAAGAGTCATAGTTTTACTGAGAATACTTGATCTTAAAGAAAACATAAGCTCCTCCTACTATTTATGGTACATCGGAGCCCCACCTTCTGCCATTTAAGATTGCTGTAGATTGACAGCGGGTCACTATATGAAGTCCCATCATGCATCATCTTTTTGTAAGCTTATTGAGTGGTGGCCCAAGAAGACCTAAAGAGAAGAAGGGAAATAAAGCTGAACTTGGAGATAAGTAAATGCTGTCTACATATAAGAGACTTGTATTCTTCCTTGAATCTTGAATTTGAACCCCTGTCAGGGGGAGATTTACCCAATGTCACCTGTAGACAAAATAAGCAAAATCGAAAATGTTGCAGTTGTGACTGAAATAGGAGTAGAAGGGATTTCTTCTAATAGGGACACTTGTTCCAGAGGCAGACTTTCCCTTCTCTTTGGGGAGATGTCCACTTCCTGTTGTGGCTCTGTGTATAGCACATGACATACACAGCTTTAAAAACTGAACCCAGGTTTTACCTCTTCACCACACCTAGAACGAAGGGAAAAGTTGAGGCTGGTGTTAAACTTTGAATCAGATGGTTTCCATCACTAGGATTTCCTCTCTTGTGTCTATGTACACTTCCTATCATCGGGAGAGGACCCTGAAAACACTGAACAATTTCCCTTGCCATTGATGGACTGAGGCCTCACAGCTCCAGCCAGAGAGGGACCGAGGCTCTGTAGTTCTGGCCAGCAAGTGATTGGTGCCTCACCTTTCTGGCCAGCGACGTACTGATGCCTTGCAGTTCCAGCCAGGGACCAATGCCGCAAACTTCCAGCTAGCGAAGTGCTGATGCCTCACAGTTCTGGCCAGCAAGCAATGGAGTCCTCACAGTTCCCAGCCAGTGAGTCACTGATGCTTTGCAATTCCATCAAAGTTCCAACAAAACAAAATTCCAGCCTCGCAGTTCCAGCTCAGAGAGGGACTGTTGTCTTGCAGTTTCGGCCAGCAGGATACCAGTGCTTTAAAGTTCAAGCCCATGAGGGCCTGACGCTTTGTATTTCAAGTCCACGAAGGCCTAGCGCTTTGCATTTCCAGCCGAAGAGGGCCTAGTGCTTTACATTTCCAGCCCACCAGGGCCTGATGCTTTGCGTTTCCAGCTCACCAAGGCCTGATGCTTTGCGTTTCCAGCTCACCAAGGCCTGATGCTTTGCGTTTCCAGCTCACCAAGGCCTGATGCTTTGCGTTTCCAGCCCACCAGGGCCTGATGCTTTGCATATCCAGACCACCAGAGCCTGATGCTTTGCGTTTCCAGCCCACCAGGGCCTGATGCTTTGCGTTTCCAGCCCACCAGGGCCTGATGCTTTGCGTTTCCAGCCCACCAGGGCCTGATGCTTTGCGTTTCCAGCCCACCAGGGCCCGATGGTTTGCAATTCCAGCCCACGAGGGCCCAACGTTTATTGTGTCCCCACCCGCAATTCTCAAATGAAGAGTGGATGGGGCTATGCTAATTAGCCTTTGTGCCCCATTGGCCAACTTTGCACCCAGAGTGCCTGTTTCTTACCACAACCTAAAACTACAGGATTGTTTTTCCAGTTGGTTTACTGGTGTTCTAAGTGAGTTGGCCTTTGTCAGTGCAAAGTTTGGAAACCATAACTTCTGTGGGCAGATTCTACTGAGAACAAACATCAGAATTTGCGAAAGACGTGCGCATATGCCATTAAAGCTGAACTCCGGCCTTCGCTTCAGTTTTGCTTTTGATATTTGCACAACTCCCAGGAGCCAGCCCACTACTTGCGTCAGGGCAATATTGAAGTGATGCAGAATGTACCCCTGAAAGCAAATGGGAATTAGTCTTGGAGGAATCCAGGTCATAGGTGGGTTTATGAATAATGAAGGATAGGGATAGACTGTATCAAACCACAACGTCTGGTCAGCTGGTTCGAAGCGAAGCGCCGGGCGTACAGTCAAAGGACGGAGCTAATTCCAGTTCAACGCCTGCAGCATGCGTCAGTACATTGCAGCACCAGAATAGTCGGGTCATCCCTGAGCCTCTTCTGGGCGGAGGGCTGAGTGTTTCAGGGTGGAGATGAGGCTCGCATTCCATAGAAGTCACTTTGAAGACGTTTCATGCTGTGTATTTGCTGTTCTTTGGCTGGTTGGATTTTCCTTTGAGTCTCGTCCAATCGTTTGGGTGGGAAACAAAAATTCATTTTTTTTGTCTAGTTATATAATTTTCACAACAACATCATCTGGAAAACCAACCAAACAAATGAGATAAAAAAATAATCTCTTTGACATTTCAATGTATTTATAAGCGTCATTCAAATTTCTTTGGGGAATGAGGAATGCAACGGGAAGAGTGAGACTCCATGGTACATGACCCATGGGTTTCCCACCGCATTCTTTACTCTGTATGAGATGGGTGCTGAAAAAAGTGCGGATGGAGCCGCTCCAATCAATCTAGAAACAGGATTGCACCTGGATTTGTGTCCAAACAAACATCCTTTATTGACGCATATTGCCACAAGGATGGTGACATTGTGTGGCCCCCCCGAAAACGTCGCCATTTTTGTGACAATATGCGTCAATAAAGGACGTTTGTTTGGACACATACAATGTACTGGTGACATTTTCTTTCTAGATTCCATAGTGCACGGGTCACATATGGCGCCAGGCAGACCTCACCTTTTGGATTTGGGAATTATCAGGAGGGTGACTCAGCCTGCTGCCATGCCATCATGGCTGGAACACCAGTTTTGGGGGGGCTGATGTGAGATGGCGGTCCCCCCAAAACTAACATTTGGGGTGGGGAAGTCCTCCACCTGTTTCTTCTATGTCTCTGTTGGTGAGATCTCACGGAGTTCCTTCACATCTTCTTTAATCATTATGAGGGTAAGACATAAGCTGCGAAAAAATTTGGTTGGGTCCGGATATTTCGGGATTCGGATCCGAAATTCGGTTCAGGTTCGGACGAAATCCGAATTTTGTTAGTTTCGGATGAGTTTACGAACGTCTGTTCGTTACGGCCACCACAAAAACCATACACAGGTATTAATACCAGAGATGAATTTCCTAGACCGCAATGGCATTTGGGATCTGAATTTCCGATGTGCTTTTGGGAGCTCCTGAATGCCATTCGGGTCTGTGAGTCATACACATAGATTACTAAAGTTGAGGCTCCCAGACCCGAATGGCATTTGGGTTCCGAATTTCCGAATGCCAATCGGGTCTAGGAGCCTCAGCTTTAGGACTCGTTCACACCAGATGCAGTGTGTTCCATCCCGATTCTGGCCCAAAACGCACTGGCTTGCATTGCGGCCGGCTCACTTTTTTGTGGGGCAGGAGGGGGTGTGGCGGGCCATTGAAGTGAATGGCACCGTAGCCACGCCCTCAGGCCGCAATGCGACCTGAGGGCGTGCATTATGCCTGCAGTCCCGTCTGGTCTGGTGCAATCAAAATGCTGCAAGCACTATTTTGATCGCACCGGACCGCAGGCATAATGATCGCATTGCGGCCTGAGAGTGTGGCTACGGTGCCATTCACTTCAATGGCCCG